TAGATTGAACTTCCTTAATTTAATTGAACTATTAAATATTCCTTAAAATATATCTATGAGGGAAATTCATCTGAAATAAAAAAAGAACAATTTAATAAAGGATTTTGTTTCATTGTTTTAGATGAAGATAAAGAATGTTGAAATAATTTATATAATAGTCTTTTTTTATTCTCATTTAATTAGACTTCAATTAAACTATCCAAATTGAGTATCATAAAATCAGTTTGATTTTTGGTTATAATAGAAATATATTTATCAAATTGAAGAATATTTATAATTTCACTCTTAACTTTTATTTCTATAATTCCTTTATGAATTTTTAATAAATCTAAAAATTTTAATTTTCTTTCACTTTTGTTTATTATAAGCACAAAATTCTAATATTAAGATACATCATAAGTTGCTGTATTTATTTTAAATGTATTTGTACCATTACAAAGAAATGTTTATATACTATTTTTAGATTGCATTGAGATAAATCCACCTTAATTATCTGAATAAAAAATTAAGTTGCTTTCACTAAAATGTTATCTTTTTAATATTGGACAAGTTTAAATAAAGGGTTATTTATCATAAATATTCATAAAATCTAATGATTATTAAGGCAATAAAATTTCATATTCAAAAGGCAGAGCCAAATCATTCTTTTTTATAAACAATTCAGTAGAAGTTTAACATTTATTATTAAAATTTAAAATTGTATGCCCTTGATCAATATTAGCAACATTTTTTACTTCAATACATTCTTTATAATATGAATCATGGTATAAAGAATTTGAGACTATAAAAAGATATTTTTTAGTTGGTTTCAACATATTTTTTGTATATGAAAATTTGTAAAATTTAATTTCTTTATTTATTTCATCTACTTATGATATTAAATTAAAATTATCATAAAATACTAAATGTGAAGTACTCATTTAAATATGTTAATATAACAATTCATTGAAATAAATTTAAAGTTCATTATGAGTTTATATAAAAAGAATATCTCTAATTAATAAACTTTTAATTATTGTACCTTCAAATTCTAAAGAACCTGAAGTTTTTTTAAGTAAGGTTTTATTATCAGCTTCAAGGTAAATTACTGAATACAATGCATTACAAGTTTCTGTGAATATTAGATTTTTTAATTTTTTAGAGTTTTCAGAATAATTAGTAAAATGTAATTCATAAACCTCATTAAAAAAATAAAGATGGTATCCTGTTTCAGTAATCAAATATAATTATTTTGATAGCGAACGTTTACTTAAACATAATTCAATATTCTCAATTTATGTATTCATTTAATTTACATATTATATTGCAATTTATTCATCCAAAATTTTTTTAAATTTGTTATTATAATAAGAAAATACTCCCCAACTTTAACATTAATAAAAAGCTAAAATGTAGATATTCTCATCTAATTTGGCATATTTTCTTTTACATTAAATATATTCTTCGAAATTCCTCTAATAACTTAAATTTAAAGTAGTTATATTATTAAAATTGACACTATATATATTGAACATATATGAATTAAAACAGAAAATTAAAAATTCTGAATGATCATTAAAAAAATATTCTTCACAAATATCATTGCTCTATATTGAAGGATTCAATATTAATGAATCAATTTAATTCATATGTTAATTCTTTTCACTATAAAAATTTAAATCATTCATACAAGTAATAAAATAATGTTAACCCTTTAACAATTTGCAAAATAATAATCCGGTGTAAGTTTCAAAATTTATTGGATCGACTATTAACGATGAAATGATTTATTCTTCTCCCTAATACGATACTTTAATTATTTCATTAATTATGCTCAACTTAAAGTATTTAAGATCTGAATAATCATTTGTATCACTCTCAATTAACATAATATTTGGTATTTTTGATATGTATACTTGATTAGTTTCAAATTAAGTAATTTCACATTTAGATGCTTAGACAATATGTAATTTTAGAAGGATTGTAATAATTAGAGGATTGAAAAATTATAAACTCATATAAATTATATTTCATTTAAAAAATTATATATACATAAATTAATCTTCAACCTGTCTTGTCAATCATAAAATTCATAAATATAAAAGATAAAGGAATTTCTTTCAAATGTAAACTTAAGTATTATGTCTATTATTTAATGAATTATCCAAAATTTAAGAAATAAGACCATACATTTAAGCTCTTAATTATTATTAAGAAAATACGAACATAATATAATTAATTTTATAATTTAATCCAGATTTATTTACTATTAACTCTTACATCTTTATTTATTGGAAAGTCTTGAGTTAAGAAATAGATTTCAAATGATTTAATTTTTAGTAGTAACAGTAATAATGAATTTTTATTTCATGAATTAAAGACTAACTATGAAAGTTAAATTTAGACAAACTATTTTTGAACTTATTATATGATATACTATTATTTATATGGTTCATAATGATAAAAATTGTAATTGTAATATTTAAGGATTTCCAGTTATGAGTCTTTATAATGAAAGTTAAAATACTCATAATTAACATGAAAAGAAGCAAATTATTAAATATACCTTTTTGAAAGCTTATTGATATGATTACCTTAGGCTAAATTATTCCAATAAGTCTATAAATCATTTCGTTATTGTTAAATTTACAATAAAAACAATACTAAAAAACTTCATACACAATAGATTCTTAATAATAACTGCTTCTAGTTAGATCCTATATTTATCTCTAAATATCATATTTTCAACAAAAGAATTATGGAGATTACAATAGAAAATATGATTTTTATTTGGTTCACTGAAGTAAGTATATTATGTCTCAAGCTAGAGAAAATCAGTTGAAGTAAACTGTAAAAATGCTAATACAACAATTCTAAAGATATTATTGGTGAAAATCAATCTTTTAATAGATATGAAAGTAAAGGTATACTGAAGAATAAAATAAGGGCAGAGTTCTAAATTTTTATCGGGGCAAATCGACAATAAGAAATAGAGCAATTGATTCACAATCTTTAATGGTCCAAAAATAAAAATGGATATCTAAAAGTAGAATAATCATTTTTTAGGTAAATTACTCAAATGAAATTTTCAACTCTTTGTTCAGATGTAAGAGATAAAGATATTTCTATCCAAATATTTTAATTACAGATTTTGGATATTAATAGTAAGATAATAGAATAGGGTCTTCTGAATAAAATTGAGTATAAACTTTGTATGAATTCACAAATTAATTATGACTAATTTGATTATAAACTTTTCAAAATTTTTCATATTACTTACATTTAAAGATAATTTTTTATTTCTCTTCGAACAATGTAATAAATAATTTCAATTTATTTTTTTAACAATCTTTATGTTTTCCTTATTTAAGAAAATTTGAATACCCAATAAAATTGATTTTATGTATCCAAATATATATAGTTAATATATTGGTTTATAAAAAGGATAGCCCAGAAATCATGTTTCACATTAATTTTGAAAATTTACCTTCATAAATTATCATGTATTAACTTCTTAATAGTTTATGAAATATAATTATAATGTTATTTATATTTGAATTTAATCTATAGATGATCATCATATATACTTTCATAAGCTTAATTTCTTTTTTGATCATTCTTCTTCCTTTAAAACAGTTGTGTAGTATGGAGTTAATTACTTAATTATTTTAACAAACGACTATTAAAATATTAT